TCACGACCATTTTGGAATATAAAGATTGTCAAGAACCGGCAAGAAGAGAAAGAGCTGCTACTGATAACGAAGATGCTTGGAAGAAAAGTGATCTCAAAGCAAAAACCATATTAATCAGTGCCATGTCAGATAAGCAATTAGAATACATTAGCGAATGTAAAACGACGTTTGAGATGATGTCAAAGCTAGAAAAAATGTATTCAACAAAATCGACATCTCTGCAAATAATAAATCGAGGAAAATTAGAAGAAGTCAAGTTGAAGAATTACAATAATGTGGAAGAATTTTTTGTTGAATTTGAAAAGGCATGTAACGAGCTGAAATCAGCTGGTGGACTACTGAGAGAAGAAGAAAAAATGAGATATTTAATTAAAGCTCTACCACCAAATTACTGCTACATTGGAGACTTTATTGATCTAGTACCCGAAGAGCAAAGAACCGTCGAGTATGTCAAAACAAAAATTAAGGAAAAAAACTTGAGCAAAGGTGAGAGTGAAAAGAAAACAAATGTGAGCACATTTGCCATAAAAACGAAGGGAAGCTGTTTCCTGTGTGGAAAATTTGGACACTATAAAAGCGACTGCTGGCAAGGACAGCAAGGAAAACAAGGCAGAGGAACTCAACATAACCAGGGCAGAGGAGCTCAAGGGCATTACCGAGGTCAACGAGAACCATCACGGGGCAGAGGCAGAAGTACGACGCAAAAGGGCTATGGTCGAGGCAGAGGACAAGGTCATCAAGCGGCAGGACCATCCAACGACAATCACAAGGAGAATTCACAAGAATCATGGGCAACGCAAGTCGTTAAAGTAAATGTAAATGATGTAGTGAAAAATGTAAATAGAAATGATAACGAAATCGAGTGGCTGTTAGATAGTGGTTGTACAGACCACATTATCAACAACGAGCAGTATTTTTGTAAGTACGTTGAATTAAAAAGTCCTATTGATGTAAAATTACCTGATGGAAAAAATATGAAAGCAACAAAGTTAGGTACAGTCAAAACTTATTTCAAAAATTATTATAATAAAGTAGAAGTTGATTTGAAAAATGTTTATTTTGTAAAAGGTATAAAAAGGAACTTATTGAGTCTTTCTAAAATAACTGAAAACAATACTATTGTAGCTAGAGAACACAATGCTAAAATTTATAATAAAGAAAGAAAATTAACAGCTGTTGCCGATAAGAGTAATGGTTTGTACATCATGAAAAGTTTTCTTTACGATAATGAAAAAAATGATATATATGCAAATGCAGTGAAACTGACAGACAAAGAAAAATGGCATAGAGCGTTAGGCCATGTAAATTTTCAATATTTAAATAAATTGGTTAATGGTAAATTAGTAGAAGGCTTACCAGATAAATTAGAAAATAATATCATGAATTGTGCAAACTGTATCCAAAGTAAAATGGCTAATGTACCGTTTGAAAATAAGAGGACTCAGTCCACTGAAATTTTGAAATTAATCCACACAGATTTGAATGGCCCACATAGTACCACCGGTCATAGTGGCGAAAAATACTTTTTGACTTTCATAGACGACTACAGTAAATGTGCTAAAATTTATTGCATTAAAAGTAAAGCGGAAACCGCAGGTTGTTTCATAGAATTTACAAACTTAGTTGAAAATCAATTTAATAAAAAATTAAAGAAATTGAAATGTGATAATGGCAAGGAATACCTAAATAGAGAAATTTATAATTTTGTTAAGCACAAAGGAATTGAATTGTTGCCATGTCCTCCTTATGTGCACGAATTAAATGGAGTCGCGGAAAGATATAATAGGTCTGCAATGGACATAGGTAGATGTTTAGCAAGAGAAGCAAAAATAAATCGCAGATATTGGCCCGAAATTATGAAAACGGTCGCTTATTTGAAAAACCGTACAATAGCCAACACACAAGAAAACAAAACTCCGTACGAGATATTTTTTGGCAAAAAACCTAATGTAAAACATTTGAAAATTTATGGAAGTAGAGTTTTTGTGAGAATACCCGAAGTTTCGAGGAAAAATAAATGGGACGATAAAGCAAAATTAGGTATACTGGTAGGTTATAATGACAACAGTTATAGAGTTCTGGTAAATAACAAAATAATTAATGCTAGACATGTTAGAGTAGTTGAAGAAGGTACAGAATTAATTTGTTTAGAAAAGGCTAATGATAATGAAAACAAAACTTTTGATGATGACAACGTTAGAAATTTGAAGTTAGAAAATGAAAATGATAATGAATCTGACAGCGAATTGAATCGAAATAATATAGATAAGGAAAATGAGCTAGACAATGATATGGATATCGAGTTAGAACAGAAAAACGAATCAAATGACCAGCAAAATATAAATGAAAAGCCAGTAGAAAAAAAGGTTTTAAGTAGAAAGAGAAATCCGGTAAACAGATTTGGTAACCCTATAACGCATTATATTTATGTAAACTATGCTGATGTAAGCGTACCCAATACTTTTGAGGAGGCGATAAACTCCAGAGAATCTAAAGAATGGAAAAAAGCTATGAGTTCTGAAATAGAAAGTTTAAAGAAAAATGAAACATGGACTGTAGTTGATAGACCAAAAGATAGGAAAATTATAGATGTAAAATGGATTTATAAAAGGAAAAACGACAATACGTACAAAGCTAGATTAGTTGTAAGGGGGTTTCAGCAAAAAGAGTATCCTGAAAACGCTTACTCACCCGTAGGAAAAATGCAAACTTTTAAAATTTTGTTAAGCTATTGTTGCGCAAATAATTTGTTTATTGAGCAAATGGATGTTGAGACAGCATTTCTCAATGGTACTGTAAAATCGGAAGTATATATAAATGAACCTCTCGGCTATGAAACAGGAAAAAATAAAGTATGCAAATTGCAAAAGGCTCTATATGGTCTTAGAGAGAGTCCGAGGGCTTGGTACGATTGCTTTAATAAATATGTTAAAAATTTAAATTTTGTTAGGAGCAATTATGACTACTGTCTATATGTAAACAATACAAGCAAAGATCCAATATATATCTTAGTTTTTGTTGATGATCTTTTGATTTGTTGCAAAGATAAAATTAAAATTAATGAAGTGAAAGCTAGTTTCAAACAAAAATTTTCTATGAAAGATTTAGGTAAAATCGGTAAATACATCGGAATCGATGTAGACTATAGGAAAGACAGAAAAGAAATGACATTGAGTCAAACAAAATATATTGAATCCTTGGCTGTAAAATATAATTTAGAAAATGCCAAATTGTATGATACTCCCATGGAGAGTAATCTAAAACTGGAACAAGCTACTGAAATCGATGAGAGAATAAAGTATAGAAATCTAATTGGTGAATTACTGTATATTAGTACAGGTACAAGACCAGATATTGCATACAGTGTAAACTATTTAAGTAGATTCCAAAGTTGTTATGACCAGACACATTTCAAATATGCTCTAAGAATTTTGAAATATCTATATAAAACTAAAGATTTAAAATTGACTTACTATGATGAAAGTGTGAAAGATGAAAAGTTGGACTGTATGGTTGATTCAGACTATGCAGGCGACAACATTGATCGAAAATCTACAACTGGATTTATAATAAGATTATGTGGTAATTTGATTTATTGGAAGACACGTAAGCAAAATACAGTATCCAAATGTTCAACTTTCGCAGAATATACTGCTATGTCGGAAGCAGTGACAGAAGTTTTATTTTTGAGAAATTTACTAAACGAGTCATTTAATTTAAAGATAGAGAAACCGATAAAAATTTATGAGGACAATTCAGGCGCGGTAGCTATTGCAAAATTTGGTAACTATACGAAAAATTCAAAGCACATCGAAGTGCAATATCATTATATTAATGAAAATTATGAAAATGGCATGATTGATATTGTGAAAATTGATTCTGAATGTAATTTGGCCGACATATTAACGAAAAGTTTAGACAAAGCAAAATTTGTTAAAAATAGGAAAGCGCTAAAATTAATTTAAAGTATTCTAGTATTAAATACAGATTAAAAGATTAAGTTTAAAATATGTTAGTAAATAAGAAACAAAATAATGTATGCGGAAATTAAAAAATTGATTATACGATTTAATGCAAGAAAACAAAAATTGCCGAATTATGATGTTGAAAATTCAAGGAGGCGTGTTGGAATAAGTGAATATTTCAATATCAGAAAGGTTTAGCTAAACGTCTCAGTGGTGCCATCCATTGATGGAATGAATCATAAGACACTCACGTTGAGCGAGCGTGATTGAAAAGAGTGGAACGCGCGTACAAACACACTTCTTGTCGGTCGTTGGCGACAAACACACCGTACGAAAAGATAAAGAAAGAGAATTTCAGTCATTGTGCTTTTGGTTGATTATATTATAAATAAAGTTATTAAGTTCAAGTGTATGAGAATAAGTGTCTCATTTATTTCCAAATAATAAATAAGTAAAAAATAAAGTATAAGAAATAGCATAATTAAAACAAGAAGGTTATCGCTCAGCTCGTTAAACTTTCAAATTTGAAAATACCAAGGAGCTTATGTCAATGTTTTCGCTCCTCGGTTCGCGTTCACCGATGTTTGCGTCTATTTAGACACGTGTCATCCGGCTGATGCGTGATTTTGGTTCCTTTTCTCAGTCGGGAAAATCAGGAAGTTTCGCCGTACGTGGCGATTCTCGCTTTATTCTGTAAGGAGCTGTTGAGCGAGAACATGCTCTCAAGTAATATATAACATTTTCAAAAGTTAAACGACTCAAAGTTACTCCGCCTTCAGTATCTCCTCGCCACTGCTCCCTTGGCTCCTACCTCGCGCTCTTTCGGAGCGGTCCCGGCTATTCATTCACGTTCACATTAAATCCTTAATAAAAAAAAAAAACCTTTGAATCGTGAACATAAAAGTTGGTCCTTCGAGCCGGATCGAGGTAACCCACGGTGAACGCAGTGCGATCGTCTCTCTCTCTCTCTCTCTGCTGGACCTCAGTGACGGACTCATCGTTTCGCCCGCACCCAAGGTGGAGACAGCCAACACGATGAGCGATCATCTCTCGCAGCAGCTAACAATGCTGCAATCTGTAGAGCGAGCGCTCTCCAACTTTAAAAAAGTTGGCAGAGCCAATTACACTGCGGCTAAGATTCGTCAACGAATGTCAACCTTGAAGGAGACCTGGACACGGTGCATCGAGAAGCACGCTATCCTGGCACGAGCGTTCACCGCCGAGCAGCAGCGGACCATGGACTACTTTTCGAACACGATCTTCGAAAATTGCGAGGAATACTACGAGACAACCCTCGACTACATGGCCGACTGCCTCGAAGAGCTGGATCCAACGCCCACCAGAACGAGCCTGTCGCAGTCCACGATAAGTACCGCTGAACCATCGTCCTTTTCATTAACTCATTTGCCGCCGATTCAACTACCGCCGTTTTCGGGAAATGTCGAGGACTGGGAGAGCTTCCGCGATCGCTTTACTTCTCTCATAATTCAAAATACCGAATTAACTGCATTTTCGCGGATGCATTTCCTAGCTTCAAGTCTCACCGGTCGTGCGTTCGACACTATAAAATCTATTCAAATCACCGCGGATAATTTTGATATCGCGTGGAAAACATTAGTTTCACGATTCGACAATAAGCGACGGCTCGTCGACGTGCACGTATCAGCGCTATACTCTCTGCCGACGGTCGCTCGCGAATCCGCTGTCAAACTTAACGCACTTCGCGACAAAGCGAATCGCGCTATCGCTTCTTTAAAAAATTTAAATCGATCACCCGATCAAATGTTGAGCGATATGTTAGTTTTTAGCGTCACGCAAAAACTTGATCACGCCACTCGGAAAGCGTGGAAGTTAAAAACCGGTGACGACCCGAACATTCCTTCGTATAAAGCTCTCGACCGATTTCTCGACACGCGCATTCGTGCATTGGAGGAAATCTCTCCGGCTAATGCTTCCAAATTCTCGCGCGCGCCAAAAGTTACCAGTGCTAACGCCACTGCCTCTGGTTTATCGTGCCCACTATGTCGGGCCGCGCATTTCATTAACAAATGTCCGCAGTTTTTGCGGAGGACTCCGAGTCAACGCCTTGAAGTCATTTTAAAAGCGAAGCGATGCGTCAATTGTTTGAGCGCAAAGCACGCTGTACAAACTCGTGCAGAACTTGCCAAAGCAAGCAGTCAATACTCGTGCAGAACTTGTCAAAGCAAGCATCACTCGATGCTGCACGTTGACTCGGCCTCTTTCTCAACTGCATCCGCTAAAAAACGTCTCTCTAAAAAACGAAACCTCGTCGAGTGTGTCGTCAGACTCTATCGCGATCACTTCGGCCACGGCATTATGCTCCCAGCTAACAGGCGTCGCGCTCCCGCAAGTGTTACTCGCGACGGCCCGCGTCACCGTCAGTGCACCGTCGGGTCGGACTCTCACCGTGCGAGCGCTTCTTGATCAAGGCTCGGAGATCACCTTCATCACGGAGCGTCTCGCACAAACTCTCAGAATGCGTCGCATTCGCCAACCACTCTCGATTTCCGCCGTCGGCGGAATGAACGCCGGAACTTGTCAATTCGCCGCTAAGATTCGGATCGCTCCGATCAATCAAGCTGCTCCCGTGTTCACGACAACCGCATCGATTCTCAGATCTCTCACAAAATATTCGCCTTACAAAGCAAATTCTAGCTATGATTGGAGCTATATAAGCGATCTCAATCTGGCCGATCCGAATCCAACAAGCGCTGACCCGATCGAAATCCTTATCAGAGCAGACTTATATGGCGAGTTGCTGCTTAGCGGCGTTCGTAAAGGCGCCCCTGGGCAGCCAATTGCGCAGCAAACCATTTTCGGCTGGGTTTTGTCGGGGCCCATTTCCGAGCTGTCGACGCAATCGCGAGCGATCACCGTTCAGCATTGCGCGAATTCGGAGGCTCTAGATCAGGAGCTCAGACGATTCTGGGAAATCGAAGAAACTCCTCGACAGGCTCTCCTCAGCCCTGAAGAGCAGCAATGTGAGGAGCATTTCACAGCCACGCATTCGCGCAGTGCTGACGGCCGATACACAGTGCGCCTTCCGTTTAAGCGCGGTCCGCCGATCGACATCGGCGATTCGCGCCACACGGCGGAACGCTTCTTGCGAGGCTTACATCGTCGCTTCCTTCTACATTCCGACCTTCGTGCGGCATACGCCGAATTTATGCACGACTACGAATCATTAGGACATATGAACGAAGTGAAGAGCGATCAAGTCGCCTCGCAGGAAGTGATCTCCCTCATCATCCTGTCATTCGCGACAGTAGCGTCACGACAAGATTGCGAGTCGTATTCAACGCGTCGAGTCTGACGACCAATTCAACGTCGTTGAATAATCACTTGCTCACCGGGCCAAAGTTACAAGCGGACTTATCGGCGGTCATTCTGCGCTGGCGACAGTTCCGCTACGTTTACGCTGCCGATATAACGAAAATGTATCGCCAAATAGTTATGGACCCGCGTGACATCGATTACCAGCGAATTCTGTGGAGCGGCGCTCCTTCAGAACCCGCTCGAGCTTATCAGCTCACTACTGTAACATACGGCACAGCCTGTGCGCCATTTTTAGCGCTACGCGTCATTCGTCAGCTCGCTCAAGATGAGGGTAGTTCTTTCCCACTCGCTGCTATTGTGCAGCAAAATACTTATGTCAATGACGTTCTCTTCGGGGCGGACGACATACCTCTCCTTCGTCAAGTTCGCGAGCAGGTATGCGCGTTGCTTCGTCGAGGCCGATTCGAGCTGAGAAAATGGGCGAGCAACTCTTCCCAACTCCTCAGCGATATCGCTAGCGCAGATCACGGCCTCGTTTGCGATAAGATGCTTCAAACAGATAACCATCTTAAAATTCTCGGCATCAGGTGGAATCCGTCCTCTGACGCCTTTCAATTTAACGTCACGCTTCCGCATTCCGAGCAGACTACCAAACGGTTGATCCTTTCAACTATCGCGAGATTGTTCGATCCGTTGGGGTGGAGTACTCCGGTTACTGTTATCGCGAAGATTTTCCTTCAGAAAAAGGATGGCTGCTCAAAATCGGATGGGTCGACGTGCTTTCCGCTGACATTCTCGATCGCTGGGACACCATTCACTCATCCCTCGCCGCTCTGCACGGTCTTCAATTGGATCGCTGGATCCAACGCGGTGCAGATAGCGTCAGATGCGACTTACACGGTTTCGCAGACGCATCTTCGCACGCTTACGCTGCCGCTGTGTATATTCGAATAGTTTCGTTATCCAGTGAAATAACAGTACGATTGTTAATCGGAAAATCAAAAATCGCGCCGATAAAAACATTAAGTATTCCACAGCTGGAACTCGCCGCTGCCGTGTTACTCGCGAAACTAATCGATTTTGTCAGATCATCCCTGCATCTCCCTGCAGATTCTTGCCACTGTTGGACCGATTCCACGGTAGTTCTCGCGTGGGTGGCGCAACATCCATTAAAGTGGAAGACGTTCGTCGCGAATCGCGTCTCTGAAATACAATCTAGACTCCCAAACGCGCAATGGAGACACGTCCCCACTGATCACAATCCCGCGGATTGCGCGTCACGCGGTATACCCGGTGAGAATTTTGCGTCTCACACGCTCTGGTGGCGGGGACCTGCATGGTTACATTGTTTTGAATCCGAATGGCCGGCGCCATTCGATTCGTCTCTTTCGATGACCACGATGGAGCGAAAAGAAAACGCGGCGTCTCATCTCGTGTCGCGACGGAAACCATGGGACCTTGCCGCACGGTACTCGTCGTGGCCGCGTTTAATTCGTATCACCGCCTACATCATGAGATTCATCTCAAAGCTTAAAAGACACTCGGTGCCGCGCGACACATGCGACGAAGGCTCCCGGTCAATTTCCGCGCTCGAATGTAGAAAAGCACGAAACTTTTGGTTGTCGCAAATTCAATCAGAATTATTCGCGCGGAAAAAGGAATCTTTGTTGCAGCAACGTTTGATTCCAGCGAAGAGTGCATTGTTGTCTTTAACGCCGTTTCTCGGCGAAAACAAACTAATCCGCGTTGGCGGGCGGTTGTCGCGTGCCCCCATGCGGTTCTCCGAAAAACATCCTATAATCTTAGCTGCACATCCTCTTGTGAACCTCCTCGTGCAGCACGTGCATTTAAGATCTCTTCACGCGGGGCCTCAATTAACTCTAGCTACTCTTCGTCGAGAGTACTGGATATTGCGCGCTCGAAATATCGTCAAAGGTGTCGTTTTCCGCTGCGTAGTATGCACGCGTGAAAAGGCAGCTACCCCCACTCAATTGATGGGAAACTTGCCTTCGGTGCGCGTTTCTCCTCCTGCGCGCGCGTTTATTCATTGTGGTCTCGATTATGCTGGTCCCGTCTTAATCAAATCAATGTCGGGACGCGGTGTCGCTTCCCGCAAAGCCTACATCTCCATCTTTGTCTGTATGGCCACGCGAGCCATACATTTAGAATTAGTCGAGAGTTACTCCACTCCAGCCTTCTTAGGCGCCTTTTCAAGATTCTGCTCCCGACGTGGCCTGCCTGAGTCAGTCTACTCTGATAATGGAACCACGTTTGTAGGCGCCGATCGCGAATTGGCTGCATCATTTCGAGCCGCGCTGCGCGATCCAAACTTTCAAAATAGTGCCGCTTCCGACGGGGTGTCATGGCACTTTATGCCTCCATCCGCGCCTCACTTCGGCGGACTATGGGAGGCCGGGGTTCGCAGTGTCAAGTATCACCTTCGCAGAATCGTCGGTTCGCACACTCTTACGTTCGAAGAGTTCACAACGATTCTCTGCAACATTGAGGCCTGCCTTAACTCGCGCCCTATTGCGCCTCTCACCGATTCCGTCGACGATTGCGATTCTCTGACGCCCGGTCATTTCTTGATCGGGTCCGCGATTACGATCGCGCCTGAACCCTCTGTACTGCATCTAGCTGAGAACCGCTTGACGCGCTGGCAACTTGTTCGCCAGCTCACAGAACGCTTCTAGAAAATCTGGCAGCAGGACTACGTCAATACCTTGCAACAGCGCGTCAAATGGAAGCAAGTTTCGAAAAACGGAATTCGCGTCGGGTCGCTGGTCCTGTTATGCAATTCTCTCCTTCCGTCTTGTAAATGGGACTTAGCTCGCGTCATCCGATGTCACCCGGGTCCAGACGGTTTGATTCGCGTCGCGACGGTGAAAACCGCGACTTCCGAATATACTCGGCCTATTGTCAAATTATGCTTACTTCCGATAGATGTCGAAAGCCTGGACAACCTTACGTAATTAAGTTCAGACTCCAGATATTGCTTCTAACTCATTCTATAAATCGACATACCGAACGCTTCACCAGTCGCCTTTTTTTTGTTCAATTCATTTCGAAACGATGGTTTCGAGGCGGGCGGTATGTTTAGGCACGAATAAAAACAATAATTAGAAGGTTATCGCTCAGCTCGTTAAACCTTCAAATTTGAACATACCAAGGAGCTTATGTCAATGTTTTCGCTCCTCGGTTCGCGTTCACCGATGTTTGCGTCCATTTAGACACGTGTCATCCGGCTGATGCGTGATTTTGGTTCCCCTTCTCAGTCGGGAAAATCAGGAAGTTTCGCCGTACGTGGCGATTCTCGCTTTATTCTGTAAGGAGCTGTTGAGCGAGAACATGCTCTCAAGTAATATATAACATTTTCAAAAGTTAAACGACTCAAAGTTACTCCGCCTTCAGTATCTCCTCGCCACTGCTCCCTTGGCTCCTACCTCGCGCTCTTTCGGAGCGGTCCCGGCTATTCATTCACGTTCACATTAAATCCTTAATAAAAAAAAAAAAAAAAAACCTTCGAATCGTGAACAGTTATAATACACGTATTATATTTTTGAATGGGAAATTACAACTAACAATTATATAGCTGTAACTTGGTGTTTGCTGGGTATATGTATATATATTACAATATATAAATTATAGAATTTGGATTACATGCAATATTTCCGAAATATTAATGTCATGTTGCTACAAGTGTGCTGGAATTTTGTGCACCTATATCTCTGCAATGTCTTTATAATGTTGCATTGCAACCTGCAACATTGCAACGTTGCTGCAATATAATTGCAATAATCTGTGCTGTATGGGTACACATTACATTACATTATACATTAATATTCGAGAATTATTGTGAGATTGTTATGCTTACCTGTTATGATAGATTTTAAATATCGTTCTCGTTCTTTAAGTTTGTTAGTTTCTGTTTCGTATTGCGACAATGTTAATATTGCTTCGATCATTTCTCTCGCCTCCGTTTCCTCTTTGCAATTGCAGAGAGCACCAATACATGAAGCATAAAGTGTTTTTAATATTTTTGTACAACTTTTCAATAAGCGAGTATACTTTTTTATAAAGTGCGCTCTGTCAATACGTATACAACAATGAGGAATATTATTTTTACATTTGTTTGCATAATCGTAAATATTAAAACATCCATTAAATGTTCTTGCTGCCGCATGAAGAAATGCGAAAGAATAGTCTACGCATATCTGTTTAGGTATTTTTAGTGATAATTATTCATTGAGCCAATGCTGTATGCTTGCAACCGAATGTTGTTCTGTTATCATTTGTGCAATAAAAAATTGTTCTTCTTCGACATTTATAACAATTAAATAAAATAAAATATAGGCCGTTTTTTGCCATCGCACATCATAATTTCTTTAAATCGTGCTCCAGTTGTATCAATATAAATTTCCAGATTGTTCTTATATTTGGAAAAAAGTTTTTTATAAATCTGTACTTGCAGGTTTACTTAGTTATATTATTCACAAATAGACTTATATAATAAATAAAATATATACATTTTTTATACTTATTTCGCGAGCAAAAAATCAATACCCGGATATCTCGAAAGCAAATAATTCGGGAAACATTCTGACGCCATTATTATGCGAGCAACTAATTACTTTAAGGCACTTTACTCTTGTAACTTGGACCGCGCGGATCGTTTTTAGCCGGTTTTCTACACTTATTTCGCGAGCAAAAAATTCGAAAACCTAATATCTTGAGAGCGAATAATTCGAGAAACATTTTTATGCCATAATTATGCGAGCAATTAATTACTTTAAGGCACTTTATTCTTGAACGTCCTATTTTATTCTTGATTATTTTTAAAAGTTGGAGCAAAAAAATTATTTTCTAAAGTAAAAAATAGCAAAAAATTTTACTATTATTAATCTTTTGCTTTTATTTATGTAAATGCTATTTTTTACAATGGCTAAGATAGCTTATAGCGTTTTTCACTGGGAGAACTAGTGCGCACTGAGTGCGCACTCGTCATGGGCAACGTGTTTCACTGGGCATTTCGGTGCGCATGAAAACGGTGCGTGCTGTTTCACTGGAAAGTCTAGTGCCGAGTTTTCGCACTTTAGTGCAAGAATTCGGCACAAGCTCTGAGAGACGGTGCCAGTTTAGTGCAATCAATATGGCTGCGTGGGATGCACGATTAATGTTTGAACTGTTAGATTTGCTTTCTTCATCATCATCTAGCAGTGATAAAGATGATTTTTTACAACAAGAATATCCGCGAAAAATTCCAAAGATTGCAAACTTTCTTCAGGTAGTGCATAACCTTACGGATAAGGATGTAAGTATACATATATGTATATTTTATTAAAAAAAGCATATTATAACGTATTATAATTTTTTACGTTATAATACATTTTTTTTAATGACTTAACATTATCCGCCCGTTTTGCCCTTTCTTTTTAAGCGAGACGTGAGAAAAATGATTATGTTTTGCGAACAAGATGTTCCATGTATAAATGTATTGGTCGCTCTGAAAAGAGCGGATTGACTTTGGTCGCTCTGAAAAGAGCGGATTGACTTTGGTCGCTTTGAAAAGAGCGGATTAACTTCGTCGCTCTGAAAAGAGCGGATTAATTTATAATAGATGCTCAAAATGACCACCATCCATCCTTATGCAAGCTCTCATGCGTTTAAATAAATTTAATTGGACGTTCTCCATTACTTTCTCTTCGATATTCCAAATTACATATCGCAATCTGGTTTCTAAGTTGTCGACGTCCTCGGGAAGCGTTTTGTATATTGGTTCCTTACAATATCCCCATAAAAAGAAATCAAGAGGATTAAGGTCCGGGGATCTTGCGGGCCAACGTATCGGGCCATACCGACCCATCCAACGTCCAGGAAACTGCTCGTTCAAGTAGTTTGTTACAATCCTGGCGTTGTGTGGTCCAGCACCGTCTTGTTGAAAGAACATTTTATTTCTTTCAAATAGTGGCACTTCTTCTAAAAAATCGGGCAGATTTTCTTTCAAAAGTTCCACGTACGTCTGGCCAGTTAAAATATCTGGTAGAATAACGGGCCCAAGTATTTGGGTACCCATTATTCCAGCCCAGATATTTATTTTCCAACGTACTTGAAAATTTTTGAGCCGCGTTACTCTGGGATTTTCTTCGCTCCAATAATGCATATTGTGCGAGTTAAAAATACCTTCTTGTGTGAATAGTGATTCATCACTGAATATCACACGGGAAGAAAATCTGGGATCTCGATCCACTTGTCTCAAAAAATTTTCGTAAAATGTTCTTCTTGCCTGATAATCTTCAGCTCGTAAATGTTGCACGCGTGTATAATGAAACGCGTGCAACTTTTCTTCTTTGAGCGTTCTTTGTACCGTCGAGTAAGAAAAGTTGTGTTCTCGAGCAACCACTCGAATACTCGTTTCAGGATTATCTTCGAAAGCACGTACAATTCGCTCCGTATTTCGCAAATTTCTTGCATTGCAATTTCTTCCAGTATCGTGTTTATCCGGAAGAACACTGCCAGTCTCGTGTAATCTCTGAGCTGCTCGAAGTATAACAGGAGCCGATGGATGTCTTGCTCGATTTGGATATAATTCGGCGTATCTTCTTGCAGCTACGTGATACTGCCCATGACACTCGCCGAGTGCCATTAGCATATCGTAATATTCTTTGTTTGTGTACGCTGCCATATTGTCCTCTTAACTCTTGTAATAATCGAAAGATTATTGTTTGCATTATCAATCTTCATTTTATTTATACAATCCGCGGGGTGTCGCGATTTTCCCCTCCACGCCTTTCGCGTTGAACAGCGGCACGCGACACCCGCGACAGCGGCCACCCGCGAATCGTATAAATATAAGATGCAGATCGACAATGCAATCAATCATCAATCGGCTCCCGTCATACGAAGAACTCAGAGACAAAACGAGACTGGCAGCGTCCTTTCGAGCAAACAAGAAAAAAAGTTGCACGCGTTTCATTATACACGCGTGCAACATTTACGAGCTGAAGATTATCAGGCAAGAAGAACATTTTACGAAAATTTTTTGAGACAAGTGGATCGAGATCCCAGATTTTCTTCCCGTGTGATATTCAGTGATGAATCACTATTCACACAAGAAGGTATTTTTAACTCGCACAATATGCATTATTGGAGCGAAGAAAATCCCAGAGTAACGCGGCTCAAAAATTTTCAAGTACGTTGGAAAATAAATATCTGGGCTGGAATAATGGGTACCCAAATACTTGGGCCCGTTATTCTACCAGATATTTTAACTGGCCAGACGTACGTGGAACTTTTGAAAGAAAATCTGCCCGATTTTTTAGAAGAAGTGCCACTATTTGAAAGAAATAAAATGTTCTTTCAACAAGACGGTGCTGGACCACACAACGCCAGGATTGTAACAAACTACTTGAACGAGCAGTTTCCTGGACGTTGGATGGGTCGGTATGGCCCGATACGTTGGCCCGCAAGATCCCCGGACCTTAATCCTCTTGATTTCTTTTTATGGGGATATTGTAAAGAATCAATATACAAAACGCTTACCGAGGACGTCGACAACTTAGAAACCAGATTGCGATATGTAATTTGGAATATCGAAGAGAAAGTAATGGAGAACGTCCAATTAAATTTATTTAAACGCATGAGAGCTTGCATAAGGATGGATGGTGGTCATTTTGAGCATCTATTATAAATTAAT